GAACAAAGAAAAGTCTAAAGAGCAAGGTCAGGGTTGCAGAGCAGACAGAATCAGGCTGCCAACAAGATTCTCCTTGGCCTGCCCTTGCACTGTCCTTGGAGAATGAGCAACTGTGATGCAGCGATGGAAAAGACTCCACAGAACATTGGCTATTTTTTTTACCAATGTAGTTTTCCGTTTCCTTGAAACTGCCGTATAGTAAGTTCCCCATGATTGTCCTGTATCCTTCGAGAAAACCTATTAAGATTACTTTTTCAGAATTGAAGAATAAAAAAACCAAACTGTTGCCATAGCTTTCTAAAATCTGCCTTGAATTTAACCAGCCTGGCAAATCTGATTGGAATCCACTTTATTGACTGGGCCTTAGTCTCTCTGGATTGATTTGGTAAATCCAAGACTCATTTCTCTTGTTTACAAATCATTCCATAAAATTATCATTAGCTTCCATTTTACATACTTTGGACATGCTGTCAGGAGATACCAGAGCTTGGAAGAAGGACATTATGCTGAAAAAGAGGGCGGCCCTCAATGAGATGGCTGCAGAAATAGGCTCAGGCACAGTTGTGAGGACAGGGCCACTATGGGTCACAACTGACTTTGATGGCACCTAACAACCACAGCTTCCCACTGGCTTAAAATATTGGTGGTCCGATCAACTTTGAGCGAGCTGATGTTTGCACAGTGCTTGTGGTACTCATCAAACTGAAAGCTTGCTGAGGCCAAAATGTTCACTTAAAAATCGAAAATGTTGAACCTTTTGAAATCCCAGCTCTGTGCCACCCGTGGTTACTCTAGTCTCCTCCTGTCTTTGGACTCGAGCCACAGCTGCTGCTTTTAGCATCTAGATGGTCCTAAAATGCGTAATCTAACTCTCAAATGTTGATTTCATATGGGACAGCATTCCTATACATTTGGTGCAAAGCAATGATATTGGAAGATGTTCATTCTTTAGTTTGAAGTGAGAGATGAGGACAAGTCTGTTAACTGAGAACTTGCCCACAGCCTCTACTGATGGCTGAGACTTGTATAAACACACAAACTTATCATCACATAAAATGTGCTCTGGAGTGCCCCAACCCATTTAGTCTTATAATTGATTCAAATGCATGCCCCAAAATCTGTTTATATTAGAAGTTTGTTTTCTCTTTTGATAGTGCAGTGATGTAAACTGTAGCAAGTCTCATAATTTTTTAACTAGTAGAGACTAAATTACGCCTTAGCTACATGAGTATTGTGGTAATTCATTTGTCCTCCTTTAATAACAATTAAGTTTCTGGTCTTTCACAATTTTTTTTTAACCAATTGTTTTTTTCAGCTCTTTCATATCATTAATAATTCCTTTCTCCGGGTGATTCCTCCTGCTCCTCTTATTCTAACAAACCTGTTGTCTCAAAACAAAGGTCTAATCCCTTACAAGTCCTTGACTACAGTCCCTAAGGGGAACTAGAAAGAGGAAGTATAGGGAAATGGCATGGGGGTCACTTCTGACCTTCTCTGGCTACACAAGTGCCCAAGGATGATTCTTATGAGGCAGAGGTCAGATGTGCCTCTACTCTCCATCCTCTGTCCCTTATTCTGACACCAACCATCCCTCCCACACATTCTACACCCAACCCTTCTGCGGGTTTTGATTATCCAGTGCAGTGGCTACACAGGACTCTCAGACAGTACTCATGATAATGGGGTTTATTAGACAAGAGTTTACTACGATCAGAATTAATACACGAAGCACAGTCCACGGTACCTCTTAGCCATGCCATCAGGCTCTTTAGTCCTTGGCTTCTGTCCTCCTTCCGTGCCACAAAGCTGCTTCATTGCTGATCGATGCCCAGAAGGCACCCTACTTTGCAAGGCAGCTACCTTCCTGAATGTACTCAGCTTTGCTCCTTCCTTGAACCCGGAAGGCCACCACTGTGTTATGGTCTCAGTGCTGTGCTCTCCGGTGGCTTTTTCATTTGAATGGTTATAGGGTTCTCTCTGTGTCTGCCTCTGAGATGGCTCACTTTATACCTAATGGAATGACAAACACTTACCAACACTTCACAGAAGCCCCTTATACCTTATTTGTATGCTCCCACCCAGCCTCTTGGTGGGAGTTAGAAAGACTGCCTAGCAGAGCCAAGCCAAGTCATGTCAGGACATCACAGAGCTCCTGCTATAGCTCTAGGCTCTTGGGCTGCCACCTACCGTGGATTCAAAGCCTTCAGAGAGGACATCGTGGCAGCTCTCCTCGTTCCTAGCTCTGCCAAGTACCACTTGCCCCTGGCTTACCTTCCAAGGGATGAGAAGAAATGGCATTGTGACCAATTCTTGTTTTGGATATTGTGAGGAGTCAGATTGTCATCTCCCTGATACTCAGGTAGACATTATATATATAATCGGACTTGAGTATGTTGGTAGAGGCTGTGATGAGGGGAAGGCAGGGGAAGTCATCATGGATGTTGACTTGTCTGGGTAATAAGGCAGCCAGAGGTGAGACGGGGGCAATCCAAGAAATGCCCAGATGTGTTCTTTCTTCTGTTCCCGCCCCCCGCCCCCAGCAGTGTGATTGGCATATAGTGCACATAGCATGCAGTTCAATAATTCACTCACTTCAGGAAGAGTTGTGCAATCATCACCACAATCCGTTTTAGAGCATTTTCTTCATTCTTGTACTCATTTGTTATTAGCTCCCCGTTTCCCCTTACCAGATGTTTCTTAAACAGATTAATTTGAACTATCTTGACCATTTAGTCTTTCACCTACTATAGTGCACCTACTAAGTGCATTCTTGGTTTAGAGGAGTAGGCTGGTTTTAACAGATAGTACTTCTAAGAGATCTTGCATATCTTGAATCTCACTTCAGAACAGGAAAGGCATGTCCCAATGAGGCCCTGGGTGTTTTCTCTGTGCCCCACACCTACTGCATGAGTTGGGGTTCCGTCATTTGGCCTATTTGCTGGTGACCTCTGGAGCCCCGGGTGAGTGAGAACATTCCTTCCACTTTTGGTCTATTCATGGACCTAGCTCATCTGTTTTAACGGGCCACATGGTAGCCTACTAAGTAAGTAGAGGGTCATTCCTTTACTTAGTCTTATACATTTTATTTGCTTCCACCTTGTGATAACAGATGAAGTTGCATTGAACTGCCAGAATCCAGTGTGTTGCTTTGAAGGAAAATCATTTTGGTGGGTCCTCCAAAATCCAGTTTTGTAACTGGAAGGCGCCACTGCTGCTCTTATTTGGTGCCCTAGACTCACTTCCGGCTCAATGACTGCATGTACAACAGAGTGACCTGAGACACTCCTGGCCCTGCACCACCCTCCTAGTCGGCACGTTTGAGTTCAGCCCATCTCTTTAAGGCGCCGCCTCCTCTTGCACTCACCCTCTACGTTACCGCGCGTGATGTCCGTGTCCAGGAGCTGAGCTTTCCTGATAACATGCCTAAAGTGTGTGGGGTGAAGCCCAGCCATCTTTGCATCTAAGAGAGATTCTGGCTGTATGCCCTCCAAGACAGATTTGTTTGTTGTTCTGGTTGTCCGTCGGGGTACTTTCAATACTCTTCGTCAACATCTGAATTCAAATGCATCAATTCTTCCTTGGTTTTCTGTATTCATTATCTAGCTTTCTTCAATCATCTGCATATGAGATGAATGAAAATGCCACCGGTTCTGCCAGGTGCACTGCACTCCTTCAAGTGACAGCTGTGCTCTTTAACACTTGAAAGAAGTTTTGTAGATTTGCCTGATAGAACGTGGTATTTGATTTCTTGACGGCTTTTCCCATGGAAACGGATTGTATGTCCAAGTAAAATGAAATGCACGACCTCATGACCCACATGCTGAATGTCTTCCGATTTAGACACGACTGTGAGGTTAGTGAAATTATCTAAGAAGAAAGAGAAGTTAAGGTTCCTGGCAAGATTTTTTCTTTTTAAAGATTGTTCTTGGGGGTTGAGTAGCTCCTCAGTCAAATAAACAGCACACGTAAAGGCATTTGCACTTTGGCACAAAGTACACATTCACGAAACGATACGTGCCAACTTAGAGCTGGTGTCTTGCAGTGGTAGTCCACTTTGCTCATGGGCCTTTTCTTGTTGCTCAGAGAATCATATTTTGGAAGATGTGAACAAATGCGTCATTGCCCTGCAAGAGAAAGATGTGGATGGGCTGGACCGCACAGCTGGTGCAATCCGAGGCCGGGCAGCCCGGGTCATTCACGTGGTCACCTCAGAGATGGACAACTATGAGCCTGGGGTCTACACAGAAAAGGTGCTGGAGGCCACCAAGCTGCTTTCCAACACAGGTAAGGGATGGGGCTATGGGGAAGGGGGCACCTCCCTGGTGCTGGCTCCCACCTAGACAGCCTGAGTGGGGTGCGGCCAGGATGACCTATTGGGGAGTTTGGAGGTCCAGGCTCAGTTGTGATGAAGACCCACATCTCTCTCTCTCAACTAATCGTTGGTGATGGGGTTTTGGACACAGTTCTTTAAGATAAACTTCTGAGTGAAGTCTCCAATGAGTGAACAAACGCATGAAGATGGGCTCCATTCTTCACACGCCCCCCAGATAATTCCACCTGAAGTTCTCATCTATCCAAACACCACTGCTGACAGAATCTGTTCAGAGACAAAATGACTCCTTTTCATAAAAGGCTGCATTTAATTTATTTCAACCATAAATACCTGCCTGAGGGTGGGGAGTGGTGTCCACTCAGCCAGCAGGACTTGCCTCTCTCCCCGGCAGTGATGCCACGTTTCACGGAGCAAGTGGAAGCGGCGGTGGAAGCCCTCAGCTCAGACCCTGCCCAGCCCATGGATGAGAATGAGTTTATCGATGCCTCCCGCCTGGTGTATGATGGCATCCGGGACATCAGGAAAGCAGTGCTGATGATAAGGGTGAGTAACTGCATTTCAGATGTTTTAACAGCTTCTTTCTTATCGTTTGCTAAACTTGAGCAATGCATCATTCTGGAGCTCAGCAGAGGCAGTGGCAGTATATTAAAACCATGAATCTAAAAGCTTTTAGAATGAGATATATTTAATTATGTTGTCTAAAATGACTGTTAGTTGTAAGTTAGAGCCCAAACTTGGGCTGAGAAGGGGAGCTAGCATGAGTTTGCCCCGAGGATTTAATTTAGAGCAAACAGTCAGTACAGTGTGAGGCTGCAGTTTGAGTCAGGGAACGTACAGAAACTGGAGACCGCTCAGTTCCTCATGCAGCCTAGAGGTGTGCTCTCCCTGGAGCGCCCCTGCTGACAGGGCTTTGGGCGGGGCTGGGCAGGTCTCCATGCCTGAGGGAAAGCCCAGGGCCCCTCTGAGTTGATGTGAACGAATTCAGGGGCTTCTCTGTCACATGCCCTTCATGATGTGATGCGGCCTCTGCTGGGAGTGTGGCTGCCGTCAACCCTGCTGCTTGTTCCGAGTTCAAGGAAACCAGTGGCCATAACTTGGTGTGACAGGGTCCCTGGGTCACTTGTGTTCATGGTCTTACAGCCTTGTTTTCCCGAGGTCTTCGCATTCAGGCGGCAGTCACCTAGACATAGAATAAAGGAAACCCCAGTGATGAGTTGTGTGGAGTGTCTGCGGTAAAGCCTGTGGGATTTGAGAATCTCAGCCCGTGAGTGACATGTAGTGACTGCGGGGGAGGATCAAGGGTCAGGGGATCACCAACTCTGGGCGTGTGGACCAGAGCCAGACATGACTAGGATTGTAGTTATCGCACTGTCCTGTGGCAATTTCCTACATCCCTGCTCAGAATCTCCGGTCAGTGGCCGTGGAGGCAGCTAGAACACTGCTGCCTCTGTACCGTGTGGTCTGCCTTCCTGCTCAGGGCATCCTGGGGCCTCGATCCCACTCTTCTTGCTCTGGTAGCTCACCCACCTGCCCCAGCCATCACACTCTTGCCCCCCCCCCCCCACTTAAAGGGGGAACCTCTCTTGGGATTCCTCCTGCTCCGTACCCTTTGTTATCTTCTCACCTTTAACCCAGTTGGCCCCGATGAGCCCCAAAGTCCTTGACCTCTGCTGTCTGCATGCATTCCCGGGGTATGGAACGCTCTGAGGTGGCCACTTAGCTACTGACAGTTTGTGTATTCCTTCTTTGCCGCTGCCTTGTCTAATTGGCATGTGAAGGTTAACCCTAAGATGAGCTCCACCCACTATCTCCATATGTCAGCAGATGGGACTCTAACCTGACCTCCTTGCTCGGGCCATGCACTTGAATCCTCCCCTGAAAGTCTAAAACCCCATGGCTGATCACCCGGCAAACAAATGCCTCAGGCCGCCCGCTGCTGCCCCTCGAGGAATGGAGCCAGCGCCTCTCCCCTTCCTGTGCTCCCCTTGGAAGGTCGGGAAGTAGTGAGAGTGTCCAACTAGATATAGTATGTGTCCGTCCAGGGCTTGGCAGTGACGTGTGCTCTGTGCTGCCCAGCTCTCACCCGGACGGAGGAAGGCCCCAGTGCTCCTTGGGCGGGTTCTGGATTCCAGGGACTCACTACACTGCCAGCCTGCCCTTTACATTCTGCCTGCTAGTCCCCGTGCTGATAACTTTTAGAAGATGACATGTCTCAAGTCAGCAGCTAATCATGAGCGGCTGATGGTTTGTGCAAAATCAGAATCTTATTTCATAATTACAACAAAGAGTTAGGACCAGTAATCAGTCCCTTGGTATTTACTCAGCCTTTACCTGCCATATTTGCTTTCTCTGATAAAAGTTAGGAGGAGGTGGGGTGCATTGCCTATTTTTATTCTTCAAAGCACTCTGGTTCCATAAGATAAGGCTTGGTATTACTTAATTCATTTAATTTTCTCTGTCATAAAGTGGGGAAAGTATAAAATTCTGCTTCATGCTGTATCAAACACCTCTATTTTTAAGACAGCACCTTTTCCACCCAGGACAGTTCTCACCTTTATTTTAAGATGAAGGTGTTGGGGAAATACATTAAGAAGTGAGAACCTTGTATCATACAAACCTGTAGTAGTGGCTGCAAGGGAACCCCCAGCCCTCTAGAAGCACCCAGGCCCTTTCGGGCCCCTGCCCGGCAGGCTGCTGGCCTGTGCTTCATGCAGCCTCATCCTAGGTGCCCATAGCTGGTTGGAACATCACACATTGAAATCCAGAGTTCCATCGGCATGGTCTTTAGAACCAGGATTCATTTTCGTTGTGAGGACTCGTGGGCCTCTCCCTTTGGGGCAGCAGCCGTGTCACGGGGAGTTGGCCTTTGCTAACTAACAGGCATGCTCTGAGCAGCACCCAGGCTGTGCTTGATTCCTGATCTCTGTGTCTTGGCGGCAGACCCCTGAGGAGTTGGATGACTCGGACTTTGAGACCGAAGACTTTGATGTCAGAAGCAGGACAAGCGTCCAGACAGAAGATGACCAGCTGATAGCTGGCCAGAGTGCCCGGGTAAGAAACACCCCCCCAGGGATCAGTCACATTGCCCTCTTCTCCTGCAGCAGGACTGACACCAACCTAAGTTGTGGCACCTGCTAGTCAGCCTGAGATTCCTCCACACCACCTCCTCAGCCGAGACCAGGAACGGGAGCCCTGGGGCTTCGCACGCATGGCAGAGCCTAACATTTCTGCTTTTGTCCATCCCGCTGCCACCCTGGGTAGGAAGGGTGTTCTTCGTGGGAGAGAAGCTACGTTAAGTGGTATCGTCAAGAAAACCACAGCCACTGCATTCCTTTGAGTCATTAAATCTTTAATCAGTAGCATTTATATTTTGGGAGGCTGCCATGAAATATTTCCAAGGAGTCTTTTTTCCTTGGAAATTTCTTGGAAATTACTGAACAGCGAGTGTTTTAGGTAGTGTCACAGGCCCTTTAGGGAGGTTGGTAGTAGACATGGCCTTGACATGCTGCTTGTATAAGATTTAAGGACAGCTCGGGTAAGCCAAAATGTACATTTCTCTGCATTTCCTCTTCAACTGAAAGGAAACAACTTAGAGTTCACCTTGAAAAGTTGGCGCTCTAAAGACAAATGTGGTCAGGAAATGGCCCCGTGCGCCAGCTCTGCCCACTGCAGGAGGCTGGTCAGCAGGCCCTGTCCCCAAACAACTCTGATCGGAGCCTTCTACTCCTCACTCCACTTCCCTCCACACAAGAACTCGCTTTTGAAATTGGGTCGGGAATTCAGGCTGCCATAAACTTGTTGTGCAAGATGAGAAGAAATAGCCCTTCAGACAAAATGAAACCTATTAAAGCATTGTCTTACCTATGTGGTGGGTGACCAGTTGGACATATTCGTTGCTAATGCACGGTGAGCACTTCATGTTCCCTTTCTGTACGAGCTGTCTGTGCGTGGGCTTCTAGGCGATCATGGCCCAGCTGCCCCAGGAGCAGAAAGCAAAGATTGCTGAGCAGGTGGCCAGTTTCCAGGAAGAAAAGAGCAAGCTGGACGCTGAAGTGTCCAAATGGGATGACAGCGGCAACGACATCATTGTGCTGGCCAAGCAGATGTGCATGATCATGATGGAAATGACCGACTTCACCCGGTGAGCCACGCCCCCAGGGCAGCGCCCCCTATGGGTCCGGGGGCTTCCTCTATAGTGAATCATCTTCCCTTTTTCAGAGGTAAAGGACCACTCAAAAACACCTCCGATGTGATCAGTGCCGCCAAGAAGATTGCCGAGGCAGGTTCCCGGATGGATAAGCTCGGGCGGACCATCGCAGACCATGTAAGTGACAGGCTACCCACCCGGCACTCAAACCTTCCTCCCGAGGCAGGTCTCTGCTCGCTATCCCAAATGTTGTCCTGAACCTGCTTGATGGAGGCTATCGTAGGTTTTGATCAGTCTTGTAGTTGAATGCAAAGTGAACCTAACTCACATCTCGGAAGCAGGTACATAGATTCTGAACTTTTCCCACCAGGTAACTGTTACAAGGTCTTTTTAAAGCTTATTAATAATTATAGAGAAGTCAGAGTCCTGATTGTACAACCTCAGCACCCCCCGCCCACAAGATTCCTTTATGCTGATCCCCGGAACGGCTGGGTTCCTACAAACTGCAGTTTTGTAGCTCTCTTTTTCAAGAGCTGCAATCCCCCGGGACTGTCCTTGTTTCCAGACAAGGGGGTGAGTAACCGCTGTCAGTGAGAAGTCATCCCTGACTTTCTTCTCTCCATTACCACCTCTGTTAGGTTTCCTGCTCAAACACCGTCCATTCTTGTCTCTCCAGCCCCATCACCTCAGGTGCCCCCTCCCAACGCTGCCAGGGTTAAGCCCCACTTGGCAGCTGGGAGTGACATCTTAGAATGGAGTCTTTCACCATGTCTGCAAGGGTCTGCAGCCATCACTGTGCCTCAGTGTCACTGGAAGAAAGGTGGTGCTGTCAATATTTAGCCTGCTCCTTTTGGGGTGCAACCTGCTCAGCCTGCCTTGGGCACCTCCACATCTCTAAGCTCTGTCAGCAAGCCAGGCCTCAGCCCCTGTGCACCTCTTCATGCTACGTGGTAACTGCGCAGAAGGGGTGCTTACCCTGATTTCCTGGGGGTGGTCTCCTTGAAGGTCAAGGCCTTCTGCACCCAGGAAAAGTCTCAGTAGACTCCTCCACCTGAGTGGTTTTCCTCTCCCCTCAAGTCAGATGGACTACCCTGGACTGCAGGGTCCTTGATGCCCCACTGCCTTCCAGGCCCTCACCTGTCTCCATCCCCAAAAGCCATAGGAGGGTGGTCATGGGTGTGTAGCCAGAAAGCGAGGCAGTGCCCCTCCAAACCTTTTGAGATTGCTGGGGGTGTGGGTGTTGTCTGGGCCCAGAGGCCTGGTGCTCACTTGCTCTCCTCACAGTGCCCAGACTCGGCCTGCAAGCAGGACCTACTGGCCTACCTGCAGCGCATTGCCCTCTACTGCCACCAGCTCAACATCTGCAGCAAAGTCAAGGCCGAAGTGCAGAACCTCGGTGGGGAGCTTGTCGTTTCTGGGGTAAGTTTTATCCGTGAGGAAAGATGGTCAGTGACAATGCGGGCAAAGGCTTGTCCAGAATGTAAAATAGCCTCTATACTTGGCCCTTACCTGCCCTGGCTGGGTTGGGGTTGAGTGGTGGGGACACCAAGGCTGCGCAGCTCCCTGGTGAACGGCAGGTCTTCCTCCTCCAGAGAAGAATTCATCGTGTTAAGAAATTATCAGATTTTACCCACACATAGTTTGCTTTCTTAAATTCAGCGTAATTTGCTTATGCACATTGTGTCGTGCTTGACCTTGTATCCCCCCCGCCTCCCCCAAATGTGTCATAAATCCTAACGTCTGTGCCTGTCCTGACAAGAGTTATGTAGGGTTTGTTATGAATTTATATAAAGGGAATTAAGCAAGTGAAAGAAGCAGATGTGGGTTGGGGGGCGGGGCAGCACATGAAGATCCTCACCCAGGAGTGGAAGCTGGCAAGGACCTTCCCCCAGAAGTCAGACATCTAGTGCCCCCACGCCTGTGAGAAAATAAGACAGAATTTGGTACTCAGAATTGGGGGCGGGGGCGCTGCTTTAACAAATGCTACAATGTGGAAGTGGTTTTGGAATGTGCGTAATAGAGGTAGACAGATGTTTAAGGTGTCTAATGTAGAATCTTTGGCCCAGAGTAAGAGTCAGTGCTGCAAACACCAGGGAAGGATGCGAACTACACGGCTTGAAATCAAGGGGGTCAGGCAGAGTTGCATCATCATCTCACCACACTCACTCAGTCTGCCTGCTGGACTGTCTGTACGAAGTGGAATGTGGCACCAGGACTGGAGGATTAGATCCATATAAGAATTCAATAGGCAACAGCAGGACGACCCTTACCACTGTCCAAGGGATCGCTGACAATGACGACAAAAAGAAACGAGTGAAAGCCTTGAAGAAATCTGCCTGCAGCGGTCCTGTGATGGAGCCTCCGGAACAGGGAGAAGGGATTCAGGTACAGGGTGACCAGCGCAAGCACATCGCCCATCCAAGCTTGAGAAGGAAGTGGCCTAATGTAAGTCTGCTGCACACGCAGCTTCAAGTGTTGGAGAAAGTCTGCCTGACCCAAGGCCTGCCGTGTTCAATGGCCTCGTATGCGTGTGAAAGTTGGACATCGGATAAGGAAGACCAAAGAATCTTGGAAGGACCACGGACTGCAAAAGAACAAACAAACCTGTCTTGGAAGAAGTTCTCAAGAGGCAGCAAAAAAGAGGAAGACCCTTGATAAGATGGATTGATAACACCATCTTCACAACTGTTATGTTTAAGATTTGTTCTGTTGTACACAGGGTTGCATGAGTCTGCAGCCTGGAATTGATCGAACATGGAATACACAAGATCTATTGATAATTCCTGGGAGATTCAGACAGGGTGATAGGGACAACGAGCTGAAGGAAGGGTAGTGGATTTTGAGTGCATGTGGTCCACTGAAGCTTAAATGAGACCATCCCTTGTCAGAAGTTTAAGTCTCACAACTTGTACAAGAGTAAATCAAAGATTTTGTGGTAAAGGTCCCAGTCCGGGCACGGATCATAATGCCTGCAGTCGGTGAGCGGCTACAGCGGAGCCCCGCAGCGGTCCACTTGTCTGAGCTGGTGGTGCCCTCAAAGAAAGGGTACTTTTTGTGCCATGGAACAAAACTAAGATTAAACTCTTATACAAAACTCAAGAGGGCATCTCCCCAAATCAACAAAGCTTTGCAAACAGCTTACGGGGCTGCTACCCCACCCAAAACAACAGTTTTTAAATTCATCAAGCATTTCGGGGAGAGTCTGAAAAGATGAGCCTAAGAAGGCACGACCATCAACCTCAATAATGGAAGACAATTGATGAAAGTCTAGGAAGTGGTGGAAGATACCTGTGGATTTCCGGGACACTGACATCTACTTAAGTTTCCAACCTCATGGGGTTCTGTAGTTTCATTTTTAAGCCAAAGATCTAGGCCTCAGCCAGCTTTTGGCATGATGGGAGCCAAAAGTATTATGGGAAGATTGACTAACTCAAAGGCCTGATCTTTCCATCAAGACTTTTAAACAAGACCAAAGCTAATGAAGATTACTGTGGAATGAGTCAACATTAAAAATGAACATTATGTGAGTCCTTCAAAGACTGACATGGTATAAATCACAGAAAGAGCTCTGCAGGGAAGGGTTAGAGATAGAAGCAACACCTTCAGAAGTATATCATAACAACACCTACCCCAAAAAAAGAAAGATAAAGAAAAGTACTGTATCTGCTAGATGCAGGCCACATCGAGATGGTAACTTAATCTTCTGATATTTTTGTTTCATAAACGTTTCTGTGGTTGACGGCAATACTTTTGTCTTACTCTTGTATGATGTCGCCATTTGGGGTACACTTTCAACTTGGACTAGTGTAACTCCATGCAATAGGCTGAAAAGAGGAAAAAAACAACCATTGAAAAGAAAGGTTGAGTGGATTTCAGAAGAGACTCTAAAGGAAAGGGAAGAAGTGAAGTCAAACAAGACCCAGCATTAGAAAACCAAAAAGGGAGCACCGCTGAGCAGTCCTTAAAGCATAAACCCCAGGGGAAATCAAGCCCCGAGTTGTAATGCTGCAAGGCTCTATGGGGAAGATGCAAGAAACATCCAGAGAAAAGGAAAGAGTACCTGGTCACTGTACCACAAAGAGCTAGCGATAGAAAGCCAGTTACAGGGACGGTCTCAGGCGTAGGAACAGTGGTGAGGACAGCACGAGCCCAGGCCCTGCTGTGTCCTGCTGTACGTTGGGTGCTTGTGAGTCGGAACCAACTCCCCATCCCTGTCCGTGAGAAGTGTTCCTAGAGGACTGGTTAGTTTGGCCATTCCTTTGAGGATAAGAGCCGTTGCAGAAGCAGAGAATCCCATGATCGTGGAGAAAGAACAACAGCCCTCAGGCTGGCACATAGCGGAGGGTTATTTTAAGTCTTGAGAGCTAAGTGTAATTTGTTTTGCTACATTTTGGACCCAGATGTTTTTTATATTCTAGATTTCATAGGTTCATTGTTAGATTCCATCCTGAGGCAAAAAATATCTCAAAGATCCCACCCTATTTGATTTAGATGCTTAAGGTATTAGAAATGTTGGGCGTAGGGTTTATTTAATTAAGACTTAATGGGAGGGCCCAATTCCTTCCCTTCTCATCTGTGACCAAAGTGCCTAATCTGAAAAAGGACGAGGGTCTGAAACAGGTCTGAGCAGGATCAACTTGGGAATTCTTGGGCCCTACCTCACCTGCACAGGTATACTGCAGTGGGCAGGCCCACGGGGAAGGTGGGGCTGGCCTTGTGCTCACCATCCTTTCTGTCTGTCCTCCCAGGTGGACAGTGCCATGTCTCTGATTCAGGCAGCCAAGAACCTGATGAATGCTGTGGTGCAGACAGTGAAGGCGTCTTACGTAGCATCCACCAAGTACCAGAAGTCTCAAGGCATGGCTTCGCTCAACCTCCCTGCCGTGTCGTGGAAGATGAAGGCACCTGAGAAAAAGCCCTTGGTGAAGAGAGAGAAACAGGATGAGACGCAGACCAAGATCAAACGGGCATCTCAGAAGAAGCACGTGAACCCTGTTCAGGCCCTTAGTGAGTTCAAGGCGATGGACAGCATCTAACTCCACCCTCGTCGGCTGCCCCACCCCTCAGACCCCCTAAAGATGAGTCACTCACGCACATGTATTTGCTAAATAGAACACTGCTGTTAGATGGGAGATGGGGGAGATGGATTGTAAACTGGTCAGGGGATTTGGCAAGGACATGTTTGTGTTTTAAGTCAATCAGAAGTGCTTTTTAGAATTCAGGATCATATTTCTAGCTATATTTTTATAAGCGTACATAAGAATTCCATAACCAAAGAGAATCCCACACTAACTTGTTTGTGATCCCCATTCTCACTGTGGGTTTGAAGGAAGCGAGTCCGAGGGCGAGGCTCCCCGCAAGCCCTGGCAGAGATGACCAAAGACAAGCATGGGAAGCAGCTGGGGGGTCTTAGGAAGCCATCCCTCCAGAAGGAAGGGAACCCAGTCTTCAGAGGGACAAACCATATGAAACTCAATAGAACAATGTATTATGAAGATAACAGATTACTCTCTTTATGACATAAAATGAGAATTTTAATGCATGGTTAAAATTACTAATGTACTCTGCTAGGACATTAATTAACTTGCTTCTATTGGGCCTAGAATGTTGTGATACTGTAATCAGAACATGCTTCTCTCTCCCCCCTTCTTCCAGCTTCAAATGCAAATTCATTCATCATAGGGCTCATTTCTAATAATTGCAATGTTTTCTTGCCTTGGGCTTATACAGAAGCTTGACAAAATAGTGTTTGCTTAGGCAATAATTTAGCCTTACCTTATTTGTGATTACTATAGCGATTACTATAGCTACAAGGTATAATTTTACTGTCTTATTTAAATTTTTTGAATCTGAATGTTTTTTACACTAACTTTTCCCAATAAAGTCCACTATGAAACTAAGTCTTAAAAGGCCAAAATAATTTTCACAACTTTCCAGTAGAGTCGTGATTTTTATATTAAACCTTTTGGAAGTGCCTCCAATCTGCAACACACACACACACACACACACAACCACCCCCTCCTCACGCGCCATTCTAACCAGCTCTCACCTTCACCACTCCAAGGCCATTCCTCTTGGGTCAAGGTAACCTGGCTCCACAGGGCCAAACTGTGACTGGCTCTTTCTTCATCTTCTCTTCTCAGCCTCTCAGGAGAAGTAGGTCCGAGTGAACACTCACCTTCTCATTGTTGGAAGTGGTCCTGGAGCCGAAGCTGTGGACCTCTTCTAATCTCTTCCACTGCCTTCCTCCAGCTTTGCACCATCCAAGTGCCAATTTCTCCCCAAGCCTCTGTGCTTGGATTCCAATCCACATATCAAACGGGACCTGTCCAAACTGCTGCCACCTCTCCTTCCCAACCCACCAAGCCCATCTCCATGCCACCTGCCCTTAACAGTCACCTTCCTTCTTGAGCCCAAAACATAGCTGTCTGCATTTACAAACACACCTGTTACTTCCCTCTGGTCTCAGCCTTCGTCGTTGTATCACCTACTGCAGTGTAACGGATTGCTCCATTATTTAGCAGCTAGAGTAACAAATGCTGCCCCTCTCCACTGGTGTCAGGAACCTCAGTGTAGTCTCTCAGGAAGCTACCATGGCAGGTGTGACAGGATGGAGCATCTGGTTCCCAGCTCCCTCATGTGGCTGCGGGCACAGGTCGTCCAGGCCACGGGGCCTTTCTGTAGGGTAGCAGCATGGCCTTTTCACCTGCTCGCTCACTTGCGCTGTGTTCCGTTGGTCACAGACCTCCCTGTTGTGCAGCATGAGAGGACAACACGAGGGTCAATGCCGGCAAGGGATCCACGTAGCCATCTGATGAGCCCACTGAAGCCACCCGCCCTTACTCTTGCCTGCTACCTTTCTCCTCTGATGCAAGACTCCCACACTCTTCCTCAGCAGTCAGCGTCCTCCTAGATCACCAGAGTGGCTGTTGCCACTGCCGCAGTTCAGAGCGACAGTGGTTTTCACCTTGGTAAAAGCTGGACGTCGTTCTATTGGTCTCCCTGAAGGTCCTTGACTGCATCAATCAATGCACCTTTCCCAGGATTACTTTCAAGTGTCTCGTCAAATGTCACCTTGCCAGAAAGACCTTCCCTGTCAAGAGGTTATTTTGGGAGCCGTTACCCTGCTTTCTCTCTCTCAGGCAGCAGGCACTTTGGCCTACTCAGTCATTTTGATGTTCTCTCCCCTGGTGGAAATGCACGCTTCCCCACGGGCGGCGCTCTCCAGGGCCGGGGAGCTTCCTGGGTGAATGGCTACCAGTGGTGACCTGCCTTCCCCAATGGGAGTGGGCCCAGCAAAGAAAGGAACCATCTGGAAACACATCTGACCCAGCCAGCCTCTGCATGAAGCCCTTGGGGGACTGCATGCCATGTGGTGACCCAGCGTCACGCAGCCTGCTGCCCCCTCCCATCACGTGCCTGCCCGTCTTCAATGGACCGACCAACACACGACGCTCACTTGTCTAACTCCGCCTTCGCCGGAGTCCTGTGTGGAATGCTGTTGGGGTGCAGGTTCATAAATGTTCGTTCATGATGGTCGGTGCCGTTGGGTCCCAGCAGCCCTCTGTACAACACCCCGCTCAACCCTCACAATTGTTCTAGGTCTGAGCTCTTGCTGACGCCAGTGTGTCAGTTCTTTTTGCTGCCCCTCCATGCTACCCAGCATGGTGTCCTACAGGGAAGACAAGTCTCGCCATCCTCGCCCGCAAGCAGCATTCTGGCTGTACGTCTAAGAAGCCTGTCAGTTTGCTGTACTGTGGTGGCTTGTGTACTTCAGATGCCAGCAGCAGGTCACCCACAGTGAACAGGCTTCAGCGGAGCTTCCAGACTAACGAATACCCTCCCTGGGCCCTGTTCTCCAGGCTGCAGAGAGGAAGTTGGTCAGCTCTGCCAGCTCCTTGGCACACCGGGTGACAGAGCACTCCCAGGCTGACTGACTTCAGACAGCACTGGCCTTGTCATCCCCATCAAGGCCCTAGCATGTGCCTGACCAGCAGCTGTTGTTATGTGAGCTGTTGATTGGTCTAAATGACTATATGGAAAGCGTAAAACGGGCAACTGTGACAGCTCCAGAGGCCTGGGGAGTCCAAGCTAAAGGTTTGCGGTCAGCCCAGAAAGCAGCCCATCCCTGGAGACCACATTCCAGAGTGGCATGGAGGCAGCAGGAGGCCGGGTGTGCAGGCTCCTGCCCCCTTTCCAGCTTACTGCAGGAGGGTTTGCCACCTAAGGTTCCCCACTTCTCAGCCAGCACACACAGACAAGCCGCAAGCTGAGAGAAGCCAACATCCCAGCTCCCTCTACCGCAGGCACAATCCCACTCTGTGCCCCTCTAGGTCAGCATGCTCTGACCAGTGTCCTTGCTGATAACCTGCCTGGCTCCCCAAAGGCCCAACTCCCCTCTAGCCTTATTCCTCACAACTGCCCTGCCCAACTTGCCACCCCCTCCCCCCAGGCCAGGGTCACACTCCCTGAAGGGGAGGCCCCTGATATCTCCAGGACTCCTCCATAAACAGACTTCCATGCTGCCCAACAGCTGGGGAACCGCACTCCTGCTCCCCAGCTTCCTCCCGGGAGCTCACCTGCTGGGCACACACTTTCTGAGAAGGCACACCTGGCCTGCTGCCAGTGGACAGGGGCAGGGTTAGAAACCCCCTCAACTGACAGCCCTGCCTGGTCAAGGACCTTTGTCACCACCATTCTCTCTTCCTGCCTCATCAGATTGTCCCTCCTGGACTTGTGTTAACCAGCATACAAAACCCTTGATTCTTCTCATGGTGAGAAGAAGGCAATCCGCCCATGATCTCCACCCTTAATCAATTTCTCTTCTCTGGTGACAGACTCCGTCTCCTTGGACCTCCCCACAGCTCACTCCAGCAGCCCCCTTCGAAGAGGGTGTCCCTCAGCCACTCCCGACACATCACCACCTCTACAGGTGCCTGGTTTCTCACCTCTCGCAGATCGCTGGCACCGCTCGCAGCTCAGTCTTTGCTTCTCTGATGTGGCCTCCAGACCAGAGCTCCAGGCAGTGTGTGCTGCTCAATTTCTAGCCACCCGCTTTCTGGAATGGATGGGGCCATCGGGAAATATATGCCAGGGCCTTTACAACATGGTGCGAAAATTTCATTATATTTTCATGCTTGTTTCCCCATAAAATTCTTTATGCTCCCTAGCTTATATACACAGTTTATTTTAAATTTTATTGTCATGAAGAACCACAGCACCTACTTTGTTTACCTCGATCGTTCTTGAATTCCATAATCTGTAGCCAACCTATGGCTGCAAATGACAATTGAGTGTAGCTCTAACAAAAATGTTGGTTTTCCTTAAGGAGTAAAGTAAAGCAAAAACACAGGGTGGACTTTTACTTAGCAGTGAGGGACATTTTTGCTGAATCATAATAGTTTCCGAATACCGCAAGACAACGCCTTCGAACTTTTGTGCGCTTCATGACGGCCGCTCCAGACACTGCACGCTTATGTGTGTGATCAACATTAACCGTTCCTCCTCCAGACAATCGATAGGATAAGCTTAGTCTTAGAGCGTCTCCCAGTTTCTGTGGTGTCCATGCTATAAGCTGAAGTCCTTGAATGTAGAGTGGGGAGGAGGAGCCAGTGTGTCGCATTCTCACACGACAGACACAACACAAAACACCTCGAGAGCATGGAAAATCATAAATTATGATAAAATAATTATGAAAGGATAAGTTTTCAATCCTCATTAGTTTTATTTAGCTTTAAAGTTTACATAAAGGAAAATACTTCTGCTTCCTATTTTGTGTTGCCACCACAAGATAAAGGCAGGTGTACCCCCCATCGCCTCCCCCTTCGCTTGTTCTACCCACTCCACTTAGCCACCTCTCCTCCAGCCTTGACTCCTGGCAACACCCTTTGCTGACAGTGCTGTCCTTTCCAGAATGTAAGGGTCAGCGACAGTACAGTGGACATCCAGCTCTTCTGGAGAAGGATTTCGTCTGCGTCCATAAGTATTTAATCTCAGGAGTTCAGAGCAGCGGTTCTGCTCTTCGTACAGGCTGTTACATGTCGAATCGCCTTGATGGCGATGGAAGGTAAGTCACTGAGGGCACATGCTGTGGCGTCTGGCTTCCCTCACTCCGTGACGTGGTTCAGTCGCCACGTTGCGCACACTAGTCCCTGCTTGGCTACAGTGGCGGAGTGAACCGCTGCACGCAGAGCCCACAGGGCGTTCACCCAAGCATTTCCATACAGCTTTTGCATGAGGATGCGTTTTTGTTGACCGTGGTCAGTCTAAGAAACCGCCGATCCTAAAGTGGCCACATCACTGTACCTTCCACCAGCACATCAGTCAGGCTGTTTTGTTTGGGGTATTTTCAGGTACAATAGTAAGTGTACGAGTCTCATTGTGGTTTTAATTTGCATTTCCTTAACAAGTTGCCCACAATGTGAAAACTGAACATTGAAGAAGAACTGACACATTTGAATTGCGGTGCTGAGGAATACGGTTCGTATCAGAAACTGTTAAACTGGAGGAACAAACCTCTCTTGCAAGAACTAGAGCCAGAATGTTCCCTGGAGCAAGGATGGCGAGACTTTGCCTCGAACACTTCGGGCATGTTGTCAGGAGAGCCCAGTCCCTGAAGAGATCGTGCTTGAGAAAGCGGACGGGAAGTGAAACTGAGGAAGACCGTGGGGCAGGTGAACGCAACGATGAGCTCAAACGAGGTGGGCGGCTCGCATCGCACGTAGGCGCTTAACAGGCAGTGGTTACGCTGCGCCCTTGTTCATCTGCCATCTACTTCTCTTCCTGTGGTGCCGTTTCCTGGGTGATGTTTTTTCAGATCTTAAGCCCGTTTTTTTCTTTCAGAGGCTGTTGATGAGTTTTGAGAGTTTTTATGTATGTATTCGGGACGCAAGTCCTTTGTATCATAATGTGATTCCCGAATATTTTCTTACTGTCTGTAGTTTTCCTTAACGAGGTCTTTCAGAGCAGAAACGGTCCATTTTGGTGACGTTAACGTCACTTCTTTTATGGGTTGTGCTTTGGTGTTTGGTCTGAGAACTGCTGGCCTAAATAAACACAACGAAGATTTTTTTCCTACTGTTCCAGTTTTTTATATTTACATTTTATCTTCAGGTCTATAGTCCGTTTTGAGTTAAATTTTATGTCAGATGTGAGGTTCTTTTGTTTTATTTTACATATGGATCCCCAGTATTTCCAGCCCCGTTTATTGAAAAGGCTACCACGCCTCCTTTGACTTTCTTTTCATCTTTATGAAAAACAGCATCAACAAAACCAGAGAGATCCGTGCGGTCTACTTCTGAGTCCTCCTCGTGATCGGTTTACCAGTGTCGCACTGTCTCCGCTCCTGTGGCTTCCTGGGCAGACTTTCCAGCCTCTCTCTTCCTTTTCCAACTCCTTTTAGCCCTTCCCCTTCCTGTGTGTTTGCTGTAAATTCTACAATCAACTAACTGATAGCTACCCAAGAATCCATTCTGCTCACCGTGAGATCCATGTCAAATATCTGAACACTGAGGCCATCCATGTATGTGATTTTAAGGCACTAAGCGTGTAGTGCTTTTTATCCAGTAACAGAAGACTAAAACTGTTGCTCATGGCATTTTTGCCATCACCCCTTAAAGTTGTCAAATGTACGGGCTTAGAGTTGTGTGCTGTTTATTTCCTCAGTGCTATTTTAATGTGCGGTGGGTCTGTGGTGATACCCCTTTCAATATGAACACTGATGACCCCTGCTTTCCCCCCAAAGGACTATCTTTCCACTGCATTAACTCTTCGCTTCAGGTTTCTGTTTTCCATTGAAGACTTTCTGTTCTTTCCTTTTCTTCGGCTTTCTTTAGGTTTAGCTTGTTCTTTTTTTCTAGCACCTTTAAGATTGCCTTTTTCCATGCAGGTTTATTTAATTATATGCTTGTATGTTTCATTTCATCATCATGTGTACGTGTCTCCACCGCAGGTCTCCTGTGACATGGCCTGACTCTAGCACGCCCTGCTCTGTTCCCAAGCCTCGTTTCACATGCGCCGCCGCCACCACCGTCTATAGGCTGCAGCCTAGCTCAGCTGCCACCCAGTCACCGCTAGAATGTCCAAATGGCATGTCTCTACTACACAAACGTCCTCCAAAGTCTCGATCTGCCACCACTCCTCCCTCTCCCTCTAGCCGCACATCTCTCTCTCCCCCTGCAGTAAGGCTCCTCATACCTTCTAGTCAATCCGTGAGCAGATCCCTGGGGCTCTTCCTTTAAAGCCTACCTGAGAACTGACCGTGGCTGCTTTCTCTATCGCCTCTCACCTGGATTTGGCAATGGACTTCTCGCTGGCTTCCTGGCTTCCATCTTGGCCTCTGTATGGTCGGTTCCACACACAGAAACAGCCATACGGTGAGGAGATAACCCCTTTGGGTGTCTGCTCTGCTCCAAGCACACACACCCCCACCCCCACCCCCCATTGCCATCTCAAGGACAAACAGAGCCCGTACACTCCCCTCCACAGTCTCTCTGGCCTTGTTGCTTACCATCTGCTCGATTCTGCTCCATGCACACTGGCTTGTCTTGAAGAAGCAGCCCTCAGGACTTTTCCTCTGCGATGCCCTCAGCCAGCAAGGCACGTCTCCAAGTGCCCACACAGCTGCTTGCCTCCTGTCCTTCAGGCTTCTGTGCATGTTCAGTGTGGCCTTCTCTGATCACTTGATCTGCAACACCCCTGGCCCACATCATGTTATTCCTACGTAGCTGTTGGTACTCATGGTCTGTGCCCTTGTAGCATGGTCAACCCGGCAGCAGGGCTGTGTACCACACTTCAGGTCCTAGCACAATGCCCAGCTCTTAGGACTAAATTAGATTTCTCGTAGAATCGATGCGTCTGCAGCCCACCCCTGGCTCCCCACTCCATCAGGGTGAGGATGTACTTCCTGATCAGACCAACACTGCTGGGGAACCTGGCCCCACTCACCCTTGTAGCTCCACCTCGGGACCCTTGACCTGGCCCTTACTCTTCACTCACTGCCCCCAGCAACTCTGAATTTGTAGGTTCTTCAAATAGACCACTCACTCTCACCTTAATATCCTCTGGGACTGATAGCCCCCCCCCCTCCCCCCGCCCCCTCACCTGGCTTGTTCTTTAAGCAACCTTCAGAGTTCAGCGTGGTTGTTACTGCTCCGAGAGACCTTGCCTGACCTCCTCAACAAGGTCAGGGGCCTCTTCACCTCAAGGGGCCCAGCTGCCATGCAAACGCCCTGGCCACAGGCTGCGAACTAGGCAGGAAGAGGAAAGGCCCTGTAGGCCCTGGAGGTAAGAGGTCAGTCCCATGGCCCAGGTCAGAGCTCCCAGGGCAGCCCTCAAGAGGAAAGCAGAGACGGGGTTCCTCCCAGGCCTGTAGACAATAGTCCATGATGAGTAGGGGGCAAAACCAGAACCTACAACCAAGCAGCCCCAGCCCGATCCCGGCCACACTGCTGCCCGTCTCCAGAGGAGGTGCATCCAGCCGGGCTGGCCAGGCGAGGCCCACTGCGTGGACCTGGAGTCTGAGCACAGCTCGGCCCTAGTCTGCTTGGAGGGTCAGGGCCAGGGTCTGTGGCACACACCTGGAGCAGCAGAGACTCAGACCGTCTCTGCCAGGGGACCTTACCCTGGTGGCAGGCAGAGACCGGAGTGTCTGTGATCTCCAGGCCTGCCCACGACCACTCCCCCTTTGCTTCAGCCCTCACTGAGGGCTATACCTGCCCTGTGGGCTCAGTGCTCTCCTCTGAGAGCTCATGGCCCCAACGCCACCTGCTGACCCCAGAGCTGCCGTGTCTCTGGGCTCTGGCCCCACCCAGATCCCATGGCCACAGATGCTCTGATCTCTCCCCACTGGCCCCAAAGGTTTGGGGGCTCCCATCCCACTGCTTGTCAAATGAACAGTCCCCTGCTCAGTGGTACACTCAGTCCTACAGACAACACCCCATCCCGCCACCTCAGCAGAAGTGCCCTCAGGTCGGTCACTTAGCCTCTGACCCAGCATCTCCCCACTGGCAGTATCTCCCTCAAAGACTACTAGAGGGTTAGAAATAGAGGCAGCAGGTACCCAGGAACCCCCACCCCCACCCATGCAGTTCAGCCTCCTGGAAGCTGAGTTGGGCAGGCAGATGAGGGTCTACAGCACAGTCTAGGAGACCACTGCTAATCCCACGATTTTCTGGGCCTTAGTTTCCACTCTGGAAAGATGAGCTGAGTGGCCAACCCCAGTCTGGGCTGGGGCGGGCAGCAGAGCTAACAGAGCGAGCCTCTGGCGCATTGGAAAGGCTGAAACACACACACACCAGAATCCAAATCAGGAAAGCCCGGCACCCAGGTTGCTGTGGCAACTGGCAGCAGGCTCTCAGCCCTTCTGGGGTGGGGGCCAGGCCTCGTCAGGCTCGGTTACCCCCACCTCCAAGGCTTCATCTCAGGCCCAGCCCAGCTCCAGCACAGGGAGAAGAGGGGCAAAAGCAGAGTCCTGCAGCCTGCAGCTGCCTGGGCTGATGAGACAAGATGTCCCGGAGTGGGGAGGCCTGACCTCCTCTCCTAATCGGGGTGGGGGGGGCGTGGGGGTGGAGGGGCACTGGCTATGGCGCAGGCACACAGCAGGCACACAGACCAGGGCCCTGTTGCCTCCATTTAATGGCCAAGCTAGCGCTGCCCAGGTGATCCCCATGCCCTGGGGAGCCCCCCATCCTGCCCGGTATCCCGCAGAGTCCCACCCAGCTGGTGTCTCTGGGCTCAATAGCAGCAGCCAGGCCCATCCGGTTGGGGTGGGGTGGGGTGGGGTAGTGGGCAGGGCTGCCTCATCTCAGCTCCCGCTGCAAGCTGCTGATGGAGGCCAGCAGTTCCCGGAAGTAGCCCTCGGCCTCGCCCTCCTGGAGCTCCAGCTCGGCCAGCACCTGGTACTCCACCTGCAGGCTGGCCAGCGTCCTGTTCAGCTGGGTGTCCTGGCGGTAGTGGTCTCGGCAGGTGGTCAGGAGGGCACCCAGCGTCTGCAGCACCTTCTCGCGGGCATCATGCTCAGGCAGCGCCAGGAGGCTGGCAGTGATGGTGCACCAGCCCTGTTCCCGCAGGCCTGGCAGGAGGTGCACCTGGCGGTACTGCTGCAGCTTCTCCGGGGACGTCTCCCAGGCCAGCTCGGCCTCCTCCTCAGCAAATATCTGCCAGGGACGGACCGGGGAGATCCTGTCAGTTCCCCGAGCCAACCCTGCCCTGTCTAGAGCAGACACCTTCCTTATGACCCAGGCTTCACAGGGCACCTGGGTTTGTGGTTCCCCACCCCCTTCTCCCCCCAGTATACATGTCCATCCATCCGTCAACTCATCAAAATCAACTGAGCCCTGGTCTAGGAGCTGGAGGGCTGGCAGAGGCCCAGCACAGAAGCCACTCGGGCAGCCCTGCACGTGGACACAGCCCAGGTTCCAAGACCTGCTTCACTGTGGGCCAGCGCAGAGGCCTTGACCCAATACCGCCATCTCCTAAGCAGACCGTAGGCTCCATCAGGGCTGGATGCCTGAATATGCCTGGCAGACAGTGCAGCTTAGCCACTGTGAGCTATGGAAATGAGCGCGGCCACGCGGACCCTTCGTTCTCACCATCGTCAGCAGCACTACCACAAACGTCTTCCTTGGGATGCAGGATTCGGTTCATATGGTGACCCCCTCGCAGGCCTGGATCCACCCTATGTTTGAGGGTGGGGGCCCAAAAGCATGGGGGGCTGGGCACCCTCCAGAGACCTGGGGAGCTAAGGCAGGCTTGGGCAGAGGCATCATGTGTCAGCTGTCTAGATGCCCTGACCATCAGTCCAATGTGTTAGGAACCAATTCTTCCAGAATAACAAGCTGGGGGGGGGGAATCCACTTCTGTGGGAGTCCCAGACCCCAGGGCCAGGGGACAAGGATGGAAATTCAGAGGAGCATTCTATGTAGGGGCCCGGGCCCCCCTCCACATGGACCTTGTGCTTCTGAGGCTGCCCCTGGCCCTCCTGAGCCTGGAGCAGCTCTGGGTCCACCCCACCCAAGGTGGGGGCAGCTGCTCAGCAGCCCTAGCTGCTGGGGCTCTTCCTCCCCGAGGACAGCGTCCCCCTTGGGACAGTGGCCTAAAGCTCTCCAGGAGGCTCCCTAGAGCAGCCTCAGGAAGCCAGGCGGGCCTGTTGGCAATGGGCCCGACCCCAGTGCCCTCAGTGGACTTCACTCTCAGAAGCTCATGGACAGAAACCCAAGGCCCAGGGGCGGAGGAGAAGGGGGCGCCGGCCCCTCCCGAGGCCCTGAGCCCAGG